AGGCGAGATGGTCTAGTGGTCAAAGTGTTGCAAGTGTGTGACCCCAGGTTCAAGTCGTGGTTGTGCCAAGAGCATTTTAATGTCAGGCGTCGTTGCTAATTAATTCCACCCGAGACGAGAAAGTGTTAAGTAGAATAAAAAAGAGTTAAAGCAAGTCTAGGCGAGATGGTCTAGTGGTTAAGACAAAGTGTTGCAAGTGTGTGAAGCTATAGGTTCGAATCCTACTGTAGGCAAAAAGCATTTTAATGTCAGGCGTGGTTGTTAATTAATTCCACCCGAGACGAGAAAGTGTTAAGTAGAATAAAAAAGAGTTAAAGCAAGTCTAGGCGAGATGGTCTAGTGGTTAAGACAAAGTGTTGCAAGTGTGTGACGCCAGTTTCGAATCCCGCTGTAGTCAAAAAGCATTTTGGGCCTCAACAAGTCTGTTCATTAATTATGGAGTCGAAGGGAAAATGATTAAGTAGAATAAAAAACATAACCATTTCACCAATAGCCCTGATGGTCTAGTGGTACCTCTAACGCGTGAAAAATCGTATCGGGGGACAATAGTAGGCGCGTTTGCTGCGCCGAATTTCCAGAGGTTAACACGGAGGAAGTGCTAACAAGATCATAAAAAACCAACCCTTCTTTAAGTAAATTTACTAATAAAAAGGTAAAGTTTTTTAATAGAAAGTAAAGTTTTTGTGATAAGTGAAGTAAGACAAGTTAGTTACTAAATTTACTTACATTACTTGAGTTAGTAAGTAAAACTTGACTTACTGACTTGACTTACTGACTTGACTTACTTACTTAGTAAGTAAGTCAAGTAAGTAAGTAAAGTAAAGTAAGTAAGTACGTCAAGTAAGTAAGTAAGTAAAGTAAGTAAGTAAGTAAGTAAGTAAGTAAAGTAAAGTAAAGTAAGTATAAAGTAAAGTCAAGTAAATTCAAGTAAGTAAGTAAGTAAAGTAAGTCAAGTAAAGTAAGTAAGTCAAGTAAGGTAAGTAAGTAAGTCAAGTAAGTCAAGTAAGTCAAGTAAGTTAGTAAGTCAAGTAAAGTAAGTCAAGTAAGGTAAGTAAGTAAAGTAAAGTAAGTAAGTAAGTAAGTCAAGTAAAGTAAGTAAGTCAAGTAAGTCAAGTAAGGTAAGTAAGTAAGTCAAGTAAGTCAAGTAAAGTAAGTCAAGTAAGGTAAGTAAGTAAGTAAAGTAAAGTAAGTAAAGTAAAGTAAAGTAAGTAAGTCAAGTAAGTAAAGTAAAGTAAAGTCAAGTAAGTAAAGTAAAGTAAAGTCAAGTAAGTAAAGTAAAGTAAGTAAGTCAAGTAAGTAAAGTAAAGTAAAGTAAGCAAGGTTACTTTGACTTACTTACTTACTTGACTTTACTTACTTGACTTACTTACCTTACTTGACTTACTTACTTGACTTTACTTACTTGACTTACTTACTTTACTTACTTGACTTACTTACTTACCTTACTTGAGTTACTTACTTGACTTACTTACCTTACTTGACTTACTTACTTTACTTACTTACTTACCTTACTTGACTTACTTACTTTACTTTACTTACTAGTTACTTGACTTAGTTACTTCACTTAGTTACTTTACTTTACTTTACTTGACTTACTTTACTTTACTTACTTGACTTACTTTACTTTACTTGACTTACTTACTTGACTTACTTACTTTACTTTACTTGACTTACTTGACTTGACTTACTTGACTTTACTTACTTGACTTTACTTACTTTACTTACTTGACTTACTTACTTTACTTGACTTACTAAGTCAAGTTTTACTTACTAACTCAAGTAAAGTAAGTCAGTAAGTCAAGTTTTACTTACTAACTCAAGTAAAGTAAGTAAATTTAGTAACTAACTTGTCTTACTTCACTTATCAGAAAAACTTTACTTTCTATTAAAAAAACTTTACCTTTTTATTAGTAAATTTAGTTAAAGAAGGGTTGGTTTTTTATGATCTTGTTAGCACTTCCTCCGTGTTAACCTCTGGAAATTCGGCGCAGCAAACGCGCCTACTATTGCCCCCGATACGATTTTTCACGCGT